GCATTCTGTACTGTACAGGAGACACTGCACAAGATTGATTGACAATGTTCTACAGCCAATCAGGATGCAGAACACAATGCGCTGTAAAAACAGCAAGGCCCCGAAAGGTGAACCGCGTTATAGCAAGGGACCACTGTATATAAAAAGTACAATGCATGTGTAACTTTTTGTATTTCTGTGTATTTTTATTGGCGTGTGTCTGTGTGTTAGCGTCAGGCCCACAGTGCAGGCCTGTTCTTCTTTAGATGTACTCTGTGTAACAACAAGGAAAACTTCCAGGAGGAAATGCTCAGAATGGGAATATACATCCCAGAGAGGTAACCTTAAATTATATCTGCAGCGTTTCAGCACTTGTTTATCCAGGAAAAACTGTTATTTGCTTTGGTTTGTTTTTGTTTTTTGTCCCCCCCCCCACCTGAACCCTTTGTCTGGGCTTCCTGCAGAGATGCCTCGTGGGAGTTGGAGGCAAATGCTTATGCAGAACTGTTGGAGGTTTACGAACGCTGTGACGCTCTCACCTGCCTCTGCAACAATGGTTGTACACACTCTGCCAAGAGCGGGTATGGCATTTATATTTTTCTTTCATTAGTTTACAGATTTGTATCTTTCGTATCTAAGGATGCTTGTAAAAACAACATTTTCTGTATATTAGTAATGTATGCACATTACTAATATGTATTCCAAATATATATGCATATATATGTGTGTGTGTGTGCGTGTTTATACATATATGTAAAATATACAGCGGTCAGCAGTTTGAATAATGTGCAAAAGGAATAGCAATATGAATGGACTGTATAGTGTTGAAGTTCCGGTAGATGAGAGTGAGGTGTCTATGAATGTCACTGCAAGCGTTATTACATTAATAAAGTTTGGCCTATTTGAATTAAAGAAATACAGACTGTAAGTTAGCAGAGTTTCTTAAGGTTAATATCAGCATATAAGTGGAGAAACTATTGAAATCCATCAGATTTCAATAGTTTTTCCATTCAATTAATGTTCAGACTTATTGGAGACAGTTTCAGATTTGCTCCTTTAAGTGGTGTTTAACAGTCTGAGATTAAGAAACAAGAATAAAAACTAAGTACAAAAAGGTATTTGTTTTAAGGTCATACGTTATTTCTTATAGAACATTAAAAATGTTGTAAAATTGTTTAGAGCCAACAGGAAAAATAGTCAAGAAATAAAGTTGCGTCTAAGAATCTATATTTATAACTGCTGCTTATCAAATAAAGACATTAGTTACTGTTAAAAAAAAAACTTAAAATCCTTTAAACAACAGAACCACATTAGCACAGGGGCAGCTGTTTGTGTGCTAATGCTGTGCTTTACATTATGTAAGGCATCAAGACTGGCAAAGTGTAGCAATAAAATGAGTGGAATAAAAAAAAATCAGTGTTGTTGTCTCAGCGGAGCAGATCTTAGTTTCCTCAGCTGTGTGAAGCATAAACATTAGTGATATTTCTCTGGCTTTTGTCATCTAGAGATTAGGAAATATGGGAATCACTTTATAATTCTGTTTTTGTGTTTCTCAGGTGGTTTGAGGTGATCCGCTGCCGACTGTGTGGCTCTAGAGGGACTCACAGGAAATGTTCGGGACTAAAGGTGGACACTAAGGACTGGGCCTGCACTGACTGCACACAAGCGACAGATGGGAAAGGTATGGGTGGGTAATGATGGCTGGTTCCATGTTTGTAAAACACTGGCTAATCGTACCTTTTCCATTTTTTTTTTCATATTTGACAACGTCTGAGACAACATGTCACTCAGCTCTGCCTCCTCTTTGCTTTATAAATTGATGGAGAGATGACTAAACACTCTGAACCGTGTTACCTTGTTCTGCAGCCTCCCTTGTTAGGTCTCCTCAGGGAGGTCAGAGGAGAAGTCTGCTGTCCAAACGCCACAGGCCTTCAGTTCACTCCTCCATCAGCTGTAAAAGGTACAAGTTAACCTGCCAGTACCTCATCGAGGATGCAGGATTTGTTCTTAATTGTCACTCTCTGTCTCTTAGACCATCTTTACCCGAAAGATCTGGATTGCCTGAAGAGCTCCTGCAGTCTTTGGTCCCTCGGCTTCATCCCCCAAGTGTCCAGGTGGAGGTGATCGGGGACCAGGCTCTGTCAGCTGGTCTCGACTTAGTCAGGAGGGCTGATTTTGACCCCACACAAACTCTGTCTGTCAGGTTAGTGGTGAAAAGCTTTCCTGAGTTGTGCTTGTTGTTTAGACTTTTTGCTCTTTGTCTTCTTTACTGTGGGATGTTATTTGTCCAGGTTCAAAGACATAGATCAGACTCCCCTTCCCAACAACCTCTGGGACAGTGACACAGCCAAGGAGTACTTCCTGAAGCTGCTGATGCAGCAGATACAGGAGTGTGTAGTGTTCGAGGGCCCAGATGGATCCAAAAACTTGGCGCTGGACTCAGAGGGTACTTCCAAAGCTTATTTTTGTGGCATAAAGCCATTATGCAGTTGTATGTAAATGAAAAATCTGAACAAAGACACTGACTGTGTATGTTATTCAGCTCTGCGTGAGGACCTTTATTTTGATGTCGGCTGCCTGCTGGCCCTCTCTCTGGCCCATGGTGGTCCACCTGTTGGCTTCTTCTCGCGTGCTCTCTATCAGTGTCTATTCAACTACCCAGCCAACCGTCCCCTCAATGTCACACATATGACCCCTGACACACACTTCACCCACCAGGTCACCAGGGTAAGAACAACACAAACTTTTATGGAAGGCACAGTGGCTAAAAACTTATAAAATAAAATTATAGGTAGTTTTAAAATAGAGATCGAATCATTTCAGATCACAGAGGCTGAGTCTTTAGAAGAGCTAAAAGAAGTCATGGCAGTCAGCTGGGAGTACCTGGAACTAGCTGGCTGTAATCGACCAATCAGCAGCCTGAAGGAGAGAGAGGCTCTGGTGGAGGATTTGGTGAGCTTCACCATAATCACCAGGATGCAGCTGCCACTGCAGAGGTAAGATAAATAAACATGGAAGTACAGTATATGGCTGTTTTCCTGCATGCACTGCAGTCCTGATCTTTTCTGAATGTCACCTAATAGAGGTGCCCATAAATGTGTATGAATCAATGAAATCAGTCTTAAATAGTTATAGCAGCACCCTAGTGCATGGCCCGTGTGATGTTTAATCGCTCCTGTGTAAGAAAAGTGAAGGTAATTCTCCCGCAAAGTCAGCGTAAGCATGCCAGGACCCCGTGTGCTTTCTCCTAGAGGAGAAAGGGCTGCTGTGGCTTGAACTGGTGCTTATGTTATTTAGACCGTTGTCCTGAATATAAGACAGAGTATAAAATGACCCCTGTTTTCTTTATGGACAGCTAAAACTCCATCACTGAATAGAAATAAAGAAAACAAAGAAAACAACAAAAGCTTGTCAAAATATAATTCTCCTTTTCTAATTTACAGAAATATTACCACTATGGTCATCAGAGGTGTACTGCTTTAAGTCATTAAATGTAATTAAACTGATTCTTTGAATGTGACCTCAATCAGACCACCTCTCATTAAGGAGAATCCTAATCCATCTCTACAGTAACACACAAATATTATTTTCCATTTATATATTAAACTTTGTTACATACAACTGTGGGCAGATGGTGGTGCAATAGTTCGCACTTTTACTCACAGCAAGAAGGTCCTGAGTGTTATTGATCTTAGTCATTTGTTATTTTATGATTAAATACTAAATGAGTTGGGGAAGCAATGCTTAAGTGGAAACTGATGTTGCCGTACACACAAAGATTACTAGTCTCATCCTCACAGTGGAAAATCCAGTTATTAATTTAACACAGTTATGAGATCAGTGCTTGGTATCAGCAGATGCATAAAACCAAGACATCGTAGCATATTAGAACGGGAAAAGCCTGGATTGGTGCATCCTAGTTACTAATTGTAGTCCTAATAGTAAAAGAAACCAAATGAAACAACACTTCTGTCATGATCCTGGGCCATGTTGGCCCAGCATTCTTAGTTTTCATGTATTTTTGTGTTTTGTTCTTTATTTAGGCCATGGGGTTGCTCTGTTAAGTTGTTTCTTACTTGATTTCCCCTTGTGACTTTTACCCCCTGTGTATCTGTGAGCCCTCGTCTCCCCTCCTTGTGTTTTATTCCATGTTTCCCCAGCCCGCTATGCCTGTGCTCTCCTGTCTCTCTCTCTCCTCCTGTCTGCACCTCTGTGTACTTCCTGTTTTACTTTGACAGTCTCCCGTCAGTGTTTTGTTACTCCTGCCGTGTCTTGTTATGATTATCTGTGTCAGCTGTGTTTCCCGTGTGCTTCCACTTCCCTCGTTAACCCTCTGTGTATTTATGTGCATGTCTCCCTCGGTTCGGTGTCGCTTCGTCAATGTCTCCTCCCCGAACCTGTGTGTCTTTCTGTGTTCCCTCGGTCTTCTGTTAGTATTCCCAGTTTAGTTCTGTTTTGTTGTGAGGCCTGCAATAAAGCAGTGATTTTGAGTTCAGTTCCTGTCTCCGTGAGTTTTGCGTTTGCGTCCTCATCTGCCTCCACACAGCTAGTTCATAACAACTTCCTTATAACAGGACCTGTTGATCTTCTTTAGGTGTCTTATTTTGTATTTTTTAAGATATGCTTTTTCCATTGTAATGGTTGTGGTGATAACTCTCCTGTTTTCCTTGATCTTTCTTGTATTTTCAGTGTTTACTTTGCTTATTTTCATCCTCAGGTTTCGGGAGGGTCTACAGACTTTGGGTGTCTTTGATCAGGTGACTGAAGTTTGAAAAGAAATTTACCCTTTTCTAAATCAGTTCAAAAATGTCTCAGAGCTGTTTGTAACCCTGTTAACCCAAATGGGAATATTTGGTGGGGAAAAAAGACTAAGTGACTTAAACTGGACTGATTAATATAAAAAGCAGCAATTAATGTTATTAAACATCAAGATAAAGTATTCAGAAGTTGAAATGAAGAAAAGTGAAGCTAAAAATGCTAATTACATTGTACTATGATCAGGTTCAGCTCTTCCCATCCGTCTTCTGTGGAGTTTTCTGCGAAGCTGGTAATCATCTCACAGCTCAGAAGATTGGTCAGCTCTTCACCATCAGCTTCTCTGAGCAGGAGGAAAAATTGACCCGAGAGACGCCCGTTGTCACCTTCTGGAGGCACTTCCTGCTTGAGTGTGAAGGTGAAATGTTCATCCTATTTTTTTTATTATTATAAATAAAAAATATTGCATTGGGATGGATAAAAGTGGTAGTGGGTCCTTTTCTAACTCTCTGTTTTATGTGTTGATACGTTTTGTCCCACAGAAATGATGATGATGATAATATTTATGCTCTAAAATGTTTATACTCCCTTTCTGTTTTTCCTCAGTTGGAAGGAGCTCCATCTCCCTTCAGGACCTCCTTCACTTTGCCACAGGAAGTGCCAAGCTACCAGCTGTCAGTGCCGTCTCTTCTCCCTCCATCTCCTTCCTCCATCCTCTCACGCCCTCCCCATTAAGATTCAAAGAAGGGAGAGGTGTGGACTGGAGGGATGAGGGACTCTTCCCTCAGAGTGAGCCTGAGTCCAAACACCTCCTCCTACCCGTCACTTCCTCCTACCAGGCTTTTAAAAGCTCCATGGAGCAGGCCATCAGCCACCATGTGCACCTTCTCCCCACAGATGGTTAAAGAAGTAGGTGGGGGTTGCCTCTGGTCTGGTCTGTGTTTGAAGATAAACTGTTTTTTTCCAAGAGGTTTCTTTGTGATTGACAGAGAGAAATTTGGGCAATGTACGCATTTAAAACATAATGAACAAGGTTTTTTGAT